ACGCGGTGTAGCGTGGTGGTGGGTGGGGTAGTGCGGTGGTGGTGGCGGTGCGCGGTGGTGGTGCGCGTGCCTGCGTGCGTGCGTTGGTGGGTGGAAGTGGCGGTGGGTGTGCGTGCGGCGGGGCGGGGCGTGGTGCGGCGCGGTGGTGGCGGGCGGATGGGCGCGCGAGAAAGAGGCCTGCTTTGGGGCGAGAACGCCATCCTGAACGACGGAGGCAAAACACCGATCCGAAAATGAGGCCCACGCTGCAGCGGGAACACGATTCGGAACGATTCGGGAGCGGAAATGAGGCCGGCGCCTCAGCGAGAGCAGCATTTTGAACAAAAAACGCAGGCGAAAACCCAACTCCCGGGAATCCTGCGTGTTAAAAACAGTACGCGGGGGGGGGTCGGCTACTCCCAGCACGCCATCAGGGGAAGAGGGAGAGTAGTATTCATATTGAGTAATTGTGGAGGAGGGGAGGGCGAGGCAGGCTGAGGCCGAGGCAGGCTGAGGCCGAGGCAGGCTGAGGCTGAGGCTGACGCATGCCGAGGCAGGCTGAGGCTGAGGCTGAGGCAGGCTGAGGCTGAGGCCGAGGCAGGCTGAGGCTGAGGCTGAGGCAACCCGAGGCAGGCTGAGCCTGAGGCTGAAACTGAGGCAGGCTAAGGCATCCGTAGGAATCCACAGGAATCCTTAGGAATCCCAGGAAATCCTTAGGAATCCTGAGGAATCCTTAGGAATCCGTAGGCATCCTTGGGAATCCGTAGGCATAGTTAAGCATCTTCAGGAATCCTTAGGAATCCTTAGGAATCCTCAGGAATCCTTAGGAATCCCTAGGAATCCCTGGGGATATGGATTACTAAGGTTTCCTAATGATTCCGATGGATTCCTAAGGATGCCTAAGGATGCCTTAGGAATCCCTAGGAATCCTTAGGATTCCATTGGATCCTAAGGCAGTTGCCACTGCGACTGTCATTGCGAATGCGACTGCGACTGCAAGAACAGCAGAATTCTACAACTGGATTCTGACATGAATCTTAAGGGGAATGGTTCCAGATATGCTTATACATATCGCTGTTAGGTTGCTTTGCCCGGATAATTGATTTTTTGTTCGCACCAGGCTCGGCCGCGCGAGATCGAGCACCCCTAAGATCCAGGGTGTAAAGAGCCCGCGGGCAGGGAGGGTTGGCGTATCGCTATGCAGCCAACCGCATGTGAACCCGACGCCGGAAGGTTAGATTTCTATAGATTCGAGGAGAAGGGAGAAGCCCCAAGTGCAACACGCACCGCTTAGGTCGAACACGCAATCCGCCAGAGGCGCTCGGCGCTTCTGCGCCGAGGCGCTCCTTACACCAAAAAGCAGTCTCAGGCCGCGCCCTCGAACATCATGGCGCAGTCGCCCTGCGCCCTCGGCTCTCTCGAGAAGAGGCTGCGCACCATGGGCTCGAAGACCTCCAGGGGCTCCGCCTCGTACCCCGGGTCGAAGGAGGGCTCGTCGTACAGCTCGCAGAACCGGGCGCAGGCGTCGAAGTGCGGGCTGTCTCGGTGCACGTCTCGAGCGTTCGGGTCCATCCCGGCGAGATGGTAGTAGTAGTAGCCCTGGAAGAGCTCGTGGTTCTGCAGCGTCCACAGGTTGGCCGGCGACAGGTACGGGCCCAGGATCAGCGCGGCGGCGCCCCCGTGGCCGCTGGGCACGGTGTGCTCGCAGACGTCGTGGAGGAGGCACATGACCACCATCTCCTCGCCCTCCCCGTTCCGCAGCGCCCGCGTCGCGGTCTGCAGGCCGTGCTGGTACAGGTTCAGGGCCATGCCGAAGCGGGTGGAGGGGCAGTCCTGCTGCCGCAGCTGCCGCAGCACCATGGCGGCCAGGCCGCCGCCCCGCGCGTACTCCACCGACTCGCGCACCGCCGCCGGCCACTGCTCCGCGGTCATCCTGCCCAGGGACGTGGGCCTGCCCGCCGCGGCGGCGCAGCGCCGAGCGCCACGCAGGAGCAGGGCCATGGCGCCCCCCCCCTCGCGCGGACTCCCGGGGGGGCGGCCGGCGCGGCCACCAGGCCGCTCGGCTGCGCCAGAATGGCTACGGAGGCGCCGCGCGGGGTTGTCTCGGGGCCCGTTGGGCTCGTTGGGGGCCTCGTGGGGGCTCCTGTGGGCTTCTGGGGTCTTCTCGGGCTGTCTGGGCGCGTCGTGGGGTTCTTTGGGAGCTTTCCTGGGCCGTCTCGGCGCCATCTGGGGCCGTCTTGGGACTTTCTTGGGCCGTTTGGGGGCCTCCTGGGGCGCTCTCGGGAATCTCTGGGGGCTCTCGTGGCCAGTCTTGGGCCGTCTTGGGGTTCTTGTGAGCTGCCTGAGTGCCTCCTGGAGCGCTCTTGGTGGAATATTGGGGGTCCTCGTGGGGCGCTCTTGGGCGCTCTGGGCGCCCTCCAGGGCGTCTTTCGAACCTCCTTTGGGCCGTTCGGAAGCCCTCCAAGAGCGACTCCAAGACGATGTCGAGTCGGAGTCCCGTCCGGGGCCGACTGTTTGAGGATGCCTCGGGCGAAACGGCAATTGTTCCGCACCCGCCGCCGTGCCTGTGGGCACGGAGTGGGCGTGTCCTCACAGCCTTTCCCTAATTCTCTAAGCCCCAGTCCTCGCTCCTGAGGAGTTCTCAAAGAGCCCAGAGCCCAGATTGCCGAATCGACAATCAACCCGTATAAAAAGGATGCACGGTAAGGATGCAAGGGCCTTGGTAGGCCATGCCGACACTTTGCGAGGCTCTGAAGAGGCCCCAAAACTGCCCCCCAAAGGCCCCTGAGAGCACTCTGGAGAGACCCCAAGAAACATCCCTGAGAACTATGACCCACAACCCAGGCACAGTGGCGGGATGGGCCGACGACCATTCGATCCGGCGTCCCCTGTGCTTGTCACAGGGGTGCCAGGCGTGCTAGACGCTACCGTTTTTGGTTATGGTTCTTTTCCAAAACAAGATGCCTCCAAGACGGCTAAGATGGCCCCAAGAAGCCTCCAAGACGGCCCAAGATGTACCGAAGACGGCCTAAGGTGGTCTCAGGATGGCCCGATACGGCCCGAGAGGCTCCCAAGAGGCCTCCAAGATGGCCCAAGACGCTTAGGCCCGAAGAAGCCAAACACATGTATTGTTGTAAGGTGTTTGGCGGATGTTTGCATTTGCGCCTTTTCGTCAATCCGACGGCCCAAGACGGCCCAAGAGGACCCCTAGATCGCCCCAAGACCACCCAAGAGGCCTCCAAGATGGCCTTATGACGGCCCAAGACGCCCCCAAAACGGCCCCAAGAAAGACCAAGTGGCCTCCAAGACGCGCAAGATGGTCTCCAAGACGGCCCTCAGGCCCACCAAGAAGGGCCCGAAGTCGGCCCAGAGAGGCCCCCAAGACGGCTTCCGACGGCGTCAGACGGGCCAGGAGCCCACAAAGACGACCCAAGATGGCTCTAAGATGGCCGAAGACGGCCCAGGAGGCCTGAAAGAGGGCTCCCCTATGCAGGTCCGAAGAGGCCAACAACATTGCTTCTCCTTAGTGGCTTGAAGGAGTTGGGCATTTGCTTCTGTTCGGCCTTCCGACGACCCAAGACGGCTAAAGAGCCCCCAAAGATCGTCCCAAGATCGGCCAAGAAGCCTCCAAGATGGCTTTAGGACTGCCCAAGAGGCCCCCAAGACAGCCCCAAGAGGGCCCTAAGACCGCTCAAGAGGCAGCTAAGACGCACGAGAAAACCTCCAAGACGGCCCTGGAGCACCCCGAGAGGGCCCCAAGTCGGCCCAGAGAGGCCCCCAAGCCGGCTTCCGACGGCGTCAGACAGGCCAGCAGCCCACCAAGACGGTCCAAGATTGCTCTAAGATGGCCCAAGACAGCCCAGGAGGCCGCCTCCAGAAGGCCCGAAGAGGCCAAAATCTGAACGATTTGGGCAGTTGCGTCTTTCTGCCGTCCGACGACCCGAGACAGCCCAAAGTGCCCCCCAAGATCGCCCCAAGATCGCCCAAGAGGCCTCCAGGATGACCCCAGAACGGCCCAAGAGGCCCCCAAGACGACCCGAAGGGGGCCCCAAGACAGCCCTTGCCAAGAGGCCTCCGAGACGCCCAAGATGGGCCTCAGAGACGCCCAAAATGGCTTCCAAAATGGCCCTGGATCACCCTAAGAGGGCCCCAAGCCGGCCCCAAGCCGGCCCAGAGAGACCCCCAAGACGCCTTCCGACGGCGTCAGACGGGCCAGGAGCCCACACAGACGGCCAAAGAGGCCCCCGAGAAGCCCCCAAAGGCCCCCAAGAGGCCCAAGGAGGCCCTCAAGATGCCTCCAAGAGGCTCCCAGGAAGCTCCCAGGATGCCCCAAGAGTGTCCCCAGAGGCTCCCAAGATGCCCCCTCCTCCTCCTCCTCTTCTTCCTCCTCCACCTCCTTCTCCTCCGCCTGCTCCTGATCTTCCATCCTCCTCCAAATGCTTTCCGGAAGGGTTTCCACAAAGGTTGGAGAAACACATGGTCCGATAGCTTGGCAGAGCGATTGCCACAACGCTCGGTCACATGGGCGATTCTAGCAGGAAGGGGGCATCGGTGATTCGCCGTAGACGTCTTCGATAGCACTCGAACCCCTCACTATCCCAACCTGTTTTACGAGCCACGCCCAGCCGCCGTGGCAACGGGGACCTTCGCAGAAAACACACCTACACAGTAACCTCCAGAACACGCTCCACGCGGATTTCTTTGGATCAACACTGGGCCCCCCTCCCTAACGCGCAGACAGCGCCAGTCGCGTCATCGGAACCGATCCAATGAATCTGCGCAAAATTCCGGCAATGTACGTTTATGCAATCTGTTCTTCTTCGCGACCTCCGAAAACGCCCAAGAACCTCCGAAACCGATCTGAGGAAAATCCGACGGCACGGGCCAACAACTCCCGAGCACGACCCTGGTCCGTTTGCCAAGTCGCGAGCTGAGGAGGACCCCCGAAGGCCAGAAAGAAGCGGGACACTTTTTCAAGATCGACCACGTAGGGGCCACCTTTCCGGATGCACACCTCCATATCAGATGACCACGTGGCGCACAGAGGCGCACGGGGTCTTCCACAGAGAAGAACCGAGACAGTCTGCAAAGGCGAGCCTGGTTCGTCGCGACGCCAAGCCCTGAGTCCACTGCGCAAATGCCGGCCGCGCGGCCTGTATGCCCTGTTCGCCACCGTTGCGCCGTCGAGCCAGGGCCGCGGCCGCGGCCTCTCGGAAGACAAAAAATCGCCGCACCCGCTCTCGCTGCTGGAGAGCGTGCAGCCGACTTGCCGACCAGCCATAACTGGAGGAGCTGTGGTCCTGACCCCCCTGGGGAAATCCATCGCCTCGACGATCTCTCGAGAGGGGTGTCGAAATCGATGGGTCCCCCAGGGGGGGAAGGACCACAGCTCCCCCAGTTGTGGCTGGCCTGACTTGGCGCTGAAGTGCACGCCGCGCGGCGCTCGTGGCCGCGAGCCCCCGCCAGAGCCGGCGAGGGAAGAGCGAGCCTGCGGGCCCCACCCCATGGGTTGGGCCCCTCACGGGCCGCCGGAGCCCGCGCCACGACCACGGGCACACACCACGCGGCAGCGGCGGCTGGCGGCCGCCGCAACACGTGCAGACCCAGAGCAGCAGGCCGTGGCGAGCTCGCTGCTCGCTCAGAGGGAGCTGCTCGGACCGGCGCCAGCACAGCGCCCGCCCCCCTCGAGCACTGCGGCCGCGGTCTGGAACAGCACTGGGCCCCTCGCGAGGAAGCCGCCGTGGTGGTCCCTAATCCGCACGAGCGCCGCGGTGCCCTCGGGGCGGCACTGCGAGTAGTGACCACTCAGGGACTCGCACTGGAGCCCTGGCGCGCAGCAGGTGGGCCCGCGCCACCCCTCCCCGCCGCACTGCTCCCAGTTCTCGGAGCACGGCCCGCCGTACTCGTCTCGCATGCACTTCGAGTGCCACGCGTTCTCGAAGGCGCAGGCCAGGCCGGCCGTGCAGCAGTCGGGGCCAGTCCTTCGCGGCGCGCACTAGGCAGTTGGACGAGAAGGGCTGCCCTTCTGAGAAGGCGGGTGGGGCTTCTGAGAAGGCAGCGGGGTGGTTCTTAGAGAAGCCGTCCTGGCTTCTGAGGAAGCCTGCTCTGAAACTCGCGGGCCCTTCTAAGAAGGCCCCCGCCATCCAAAAAGCCCCCCGCCCCCTTCTTAGAAGGCAGCCCCCTCGCGCCGCCTCCCTGTGCGCGCCGCCGAAGTCCAGCCCTGCCCACCACACTTCTGCCACTCGCCCACGCACGCGTGCGCTGGGGCTGGGGCTGGCACCGAGGAGGGCGTCGGCGTCGGCGCGGGCGAGGGCGCGGAGAGGAGGGGCTGCGTGGGCGGCGAGGTCGGCGCTGGGCTTGGCGCAGCAGTTGGCGCCGGCGAAGGCGCGGTGACGGGCGGCTGAACGGGCACAGCGGTGGGCGCCAGCGTCGGAGCTGGGAATGGCGCCGCCGTGGCCGCAGAAGTGGGCGAAGACGTCGGCGCGGATGTCGGCACGGGCGCCGTCACCGACGAGCCAGCGGCGACGTGAACGTCGATGCACGAGACGAAGACCTCGTCCGTCCACTTGCACACCCACTGCCACCGGAGCGTCACCGCTCCCTGCGGCACGCTCGCGGGCAAGCGCACCGTCTGGGGGAAGTGCCGACCGTCGAAGGCGTGGTCCTGGGTGCTGGCCTCGCCCCAATGCGCGTGGACGTCAGTCCACTCCGTGAGCAAATGCTCCGCCCTGCCGAAGCACTCCTCGGTCTCCGCCTCCAGGTGTGGGCAGAAGCTCCACCTCGCGTCGCCGTTGTGGTCCGCGTCGAGCACGATGGTGGTCTTGGAACAGAAGACTACAAACTACGTAAACATGAACCTTCGGAAGTCCGCGCAGATGTCGCGAGTCGGCGTGGAACGCGTCAGTCGGGGCGCCAGGGGCGCCTGCAGGGGTAGGAGGAGTCGGCTTGCGGGGGGGGTCGGGCGCGCGGGAGGCGGGCAGAAGCGTCGCCGGCGCCCCGCGCCCCCGGGGGGCTCCATGTAAGATTTCCCAGGCTGCGCCGAGCGCGCGCACGCGTTACTTGCCCGCGCGCTCGCATTCGCGCAAGCGCATCCTAAGAAACTATGATTTGGATCGGAACCGGGCGACAACGGGCATGGGGCGCCTGTCAAGGCTGCTTCTGGGAGCGATTGCTGCTGGCTCGACACGCGCGATATGCATGTAACGACTTTTGGAGGACGGGCGCTGCGCCGTCCAATCCAACGCGGGAATGGCGCGGTCCGGGGCGCGCGGCCGTCGCGGCACACGGCGGTCGACGTGACCGCGTGGGGCGCGCGATCGGCCGCGCGGCATTTGCGGGCCATTCGGCCGACGCTGCCGGGTCGCCCTCAAACAGCCCGCCAGGAATACGCAAATGCGCAATGCGCCAGCGCGCCGCCAGGATATCGCCTTGAAAACAACCTGTTCACCCTGACCGCCGACTGCGCGCCTCGCTGAACCAGCGAAGTCGCGCGGCGCGCCCGCGCCGCGGACCCGCCGCAATGAACTCGCGGGAAAAAAAGCCTCTCTCCATGGGTTCTGAGACCGATTCTGGCCTACTTCCCCGTTCTGGCCGATTCTGGTTCCATCGCCGATTCCTGCTTTGATTCCGTATTGATTCCGTACTGATTCTTTTGATTCCGCTAGAATCAGGGGTCGCAGTTGTGCCGATTCTGTTTTGATTCTGCACTGATTCCGTACTGATTCCTTTGATTCCCCTGTGCCCCGGGGGCCGTCGGGCCGCGGCCCGAGCCCCCGCCTCGGCGGCATGGTTTTTCCAGGAGCGCGGAAGAGTTTTGAAGGGGAGGGGGGCGGGGGGGGGGCGGGGCGATTTTTGGGGCGCATGGGCGGCCGAACCGCAGATTTCCGGGCCCAGTGCGCACGCCCAACATCGCAGGCGCGGGCGCGCGAGCGAGTTCTCGACCGTCGGCGCATCTGTAAGTTCATGCCCCGCCTCGCGCGCGGGAATGGAAACTTGGTCTGCGGCTTCCCATTGAACGCGCGGCCGTCGCCCCCCATGCTACTCAGCGCGCAAAGCGCGCGAGCAGCATGGGGGGCTTTGCGTTGTCGCATATGAGAAGTGCGCGGAACCGAACCGAACGGTCGGCGGCGCCCGCTCCTGCGCCGCGCGCGAGGCCATCGCGTCAGCGCGGGAGGCTACAAGGGCCTGGGCCGCCGCCCTGGGGCGCGGGCACAGCGCGAGGCCCGCGCGGGTCTCTCGCGCCGAACATGCGCAACAAGGTCGGCCCGCCCGCCAGCTGGCGCTCGCGGGCGACGCGACGCCGGCGCCGACTGCGAGGCCGACTGGGCCCAGAGGATTCCTGAGAGTCCCGGGAAGGGGCAGCGGGCCGCGATGGAATCGGCGCGGTCGTTGGCGCCCCCCCCGCGCCCGGCCCCCCCTGCAAGCCGACTCCTCCTATGCAGGGGGGTCCAACGCCAACCCGAGAGATCCGCACAGACATTCGGAAATTTCTGTTCAGGCACGTTGCTGCTGTTCGATGCCTCGAAGGGCTCCCCGGCCACGTAGGCGCCCGAGGCCTCCTCCACGAGGCCGCCGTAATGGGAGAACTCGGCGGGCGTGTACGCACGGTCCGCGCGGGACGTGCCCATGCACGGGGACGACGGCACGACGCTCCGGTTCACGATCCCCCACGGGTTGGCGAGCGCCTGCGAGCTGCGCGGAGCAGTGGGAGGAGGGGGGCAAAGGGCGAAGGGAGCGGCCTTATGAGAAGGCGGGGGGCTTCCCAAAGGCATGTGGCCTTCTCAGAAGGCCCTCCTGGCTTCAACCTCCAGGCCATCGTGAATTGTGAGAAGCATCGGAGGACTCGGGTTGGCCTGACGGGGCCGTTGAGAAAATGACCAGACCCTGTCTGAAATTTGACGCGACCTCCTGCCCCCAAAAAGCACAAAAACTGAACCGTCAAAATTCGTGACATGCCCGTCTAAGAGCAACAGCAAATACGAATTCTGGCGTACTCGAGTCTTACCGTCAGTTCGCGTGCTGTCGACCAGCGGAGAACCCGCAGCCAGCGTTCAACGTTGAACACCGCTTGCGACCAAGAATCGGTCGATGTTGAACGATCTGGTGTTTCGGAAACGGCCGATCGTTCAGGCTTGAATCATCCCCGGCGGCGTCAGAAACCGAAGCGGAAGCTGGCACGACTTGAACTTGCCATATATGGGGACACCAAAAGAAGGTACCGATACCACTGCTCCCCGGACCTCTCCCGGGGTGCGTTCTGACGAAAACTTCGAGGCGAGTCCAGCGGTGGCGACGAGAGCCTCCCAGGAGGCCCCCACAAAAGGCTAACCGAGGCAAGGGTGGCGGCATGGGGTACCCTGTTCCTCCTCTGAGAACCTGCCGCTCGTTTCCCCCGACGCGCGCGCGGGGCGAAGCCTGGTGCTCCCCGATGCACCAGGGGCAGTACGGCCTCGAGGCCAGGCGCCGGGGGCTCGGCCTCGTGACGGCGCCGTGCGCGCTGGCCCCCGCGAGGCCCGCGAGGGCGAGCAGCGCGCGCTGCGCCGCGCGGGCCGGCATGCGGGGCGTGGGCGGCGGAAGAGCGGCGCGACCACGTGTGAACCCTATGCTCGGCGGCGCGCAGAGGGGGGCAGGGGAAGGAGGGAAGCCTTCTCGGGAGGAGGCTGCTTGTTAAGAGGCGCCGGCGCTACATCTCTAGACGAGGCTCGCGCCTTCTGAGAAGCACGGGTACTCCTCAGAAGCCGTCCCCCTCCCTCCTGCCCCCCCCTGCGCGTGGCCGAAGAAGAGCGGCGCGCCCACGTGTGAACCCTGCGGCAAGTGCGTGTCGTGCAGACTTAGGCGTTGGTTCATGACGTCGTGCGGATCGTTCAACCTGGAGCGATCGGCCGTTTCCGAAACGTCGGCCGATTCTGGGTCGCCCGCGGCATTTACCGTTAAACGCGGGCGGTGGGGTCGCCGTCGGTCGACACGACACGAACCTACAGTATCGTAGCGACCTTCAACGCGGTTTACGCGAGCCGCCAGCGCGGCACGCCTCATTGGTAACTAGTGCGCTTACGCGCGACCTTACGCGGGCAGCTCACTCGCCGATGTCGGAGAAGACGACGACGTTGTTCTGGGTCGCTCATGTGAACCCTACCTGAGAAAAGGGTAGGACAAGACAGAATCGGACAGGGATAACCCTGGGATCTCTGAGATCTGGCGGTTTTGGAAAATGTATCGGGCGCCGCGGCTTTGCCGAAGTGTTCCGGAACGCTCTGAGAGCTCTCTGGGACGCTCTGGAACGATTGATCCCTGTCCTGGCCCAGCCCGACAACCCCTGCAGGACAGATTGCTGGAAGCCGGCTGGGAACCCCGGCGGCGGTGTCCGATACTCCAGCGTCGGGCCTGCCCCTCTACAGGGGGAACATTCAAAAATAGTAAAAAACAATTATCTGGGGACTATTTTTAAAGCATTTTAAATATGTTAGGGTATGTTTTGAGCATTTCTAATTTTTCGCCCAAAATCCCCCTCCAGGAGGACAGGCCCGACCTAAGGGTAGGGTCCACGAATGGTCGCAGAAGAGAGCGGGTGGAGGGCGATGTGCCGCGTCACGGGCAACAGCTTGAGCGAAAACTGCTTTAAGGGCCAGAAATGGTCGCCACCCCAGTGAAGGCTCAATTCGAATGCGGAACCGGCTACAGAATGGACTTACCCGACGATTGTTGTCCCGCCGAATCTGCGAAACATGTGTAACATGTTCCGTAGATCGACGAAGCATTCTGCAGTTGCTCGCAGATTCGACGGGGAAATCAACCTTTTCCGTTTATCAACTCTGTAGTTGATATTCCCTATTCGATCGGCAGCCGTGGACTCTGATCGGTTGAGATCGTTGGCAAATTCCTGCCACTTTCCTAAGCCATCCCAGCGCTGGCATGAGGTCACGCCTTCACTGTGCCAATAGGGTTAGGCGTTCGTCTGGGGAGATCAAACGGTACCGATGCCGCTACTCCCCGGACCTCTCCTGGGGTGCGTTCTGACCAGAATTCCGAGGCGAATCCAGCGGTGACCCTAAACCCTAAACTGCAGGCGCGGACCTGGGGGCGCGCACCGCCACGCCTGTAAGGATCTGCTAGTGAGAGCGAGCTGCAAGTCGAGCTCACCGCGACCATAGGCCTGCCGGCTCGAGGCGGTGCTTCGCTTGCACAATGATAACCCCTAACCCTCGGCCACATGCTCACGGATACCGCTCTGCCTCCCAGAGCTCTCCCCCAGAGCTCTCCCCCAGAGCTCTCCCCCAGAGCTCTCTCCCAAAGCTCTCCCCCACAGCTCTCCCCCAGAGCGCTTCCCCAGAGCTCTCCCCCAGAGCTCTCCCCCAGAGCTCTCCCCCAGAGCTCTCCCCCAGAGCGCTTCCCCAAAGCTCTCTCCCAGAGCTCTCCCCCAGAGCTTTCCCCCAGAGCTCTCCCCCAGAGCTCTCCCCCAGAGCTCTCCCCCAGAGCTCTCCCCCAGAGCTCTCCCCCAGAGCTCTCCCCCAGAGCTCTCCCCCAGAGCTCTCCCCCAGAGCTCTCGCCCAGAGCTCTCCCCCAGAGTTCCCCCCCAGAGCTCTCCCCCAGGGCTTCCCCCCAAGAGCTCTCCCCCAGAGCTCTCCCCAGGCGCGCCCCTGGATCGAGCCTGCTATGCGGATCTTCACGGCCCCCTTTACAATCCTATGCAAAACGTGGTATAAACTGATAACGCGTGTTCCCAGGCGCGCCCCTGGATCGAGCCTGCTATGCGGATCTTCACGGCCCTCCCACAATCCTAAGCAACAAAAAAAAAACATAAACTGATCATGCGTGCTCCCAGGCGCTCCCCTGGATCGAGCCTGCTATGGGGATCTTTACATCCCGCTATGTAAACAATCCTATGCAAAACACAATATAAATTGATCACGCGTGTTTCCAGGCGCGCCCCTGGATCGAGCCTGCTATGCGGATCTTCACGGCCCCCTCCGCAATCCTATGCAAAAACATATTATAAACTGATCATACGTGCTCCCACGCGCGCCCCTGGATCGACCCTGCTATGGGGATCCTTACGCCCCGCTATGCAAACAATCCTATGCAAAACATATTATAAACTGATAGCGCGTGTTTCCAGGCGCGCCGCTGGATCGAGCCTGCTATGCGGATCTTCGCGGCCCCCTCCACAATCCTATGCAAAAAAACCATAAACTGATCACGCGTGCTCCCAGGCGCTCCCCTGGATCGAGCCTGCTATGGGGATCTCTACCTTCCGCTATGTAAACAATCCTGCGCAAAACACGATATAAACTGATCACGCGTGTTCCCAGGCGCGCCCCTGGATCGAGCCTGCTATGCGGATCTTCACGGCCCTCCCACAATCCTATGCAGAAAATACCATAAACTGATCACGCGTGCTCCCAAGCGCGCCCCTGGATCGAGCCTGCTATTGGGATCTTTACGTCCCGCTACGTAAATCATCACAATCCTATGCAAAAATATCATAAACTGATCATGCGTGCTCCCAGGCGCGCCCCTTGATCGAGCCTGCTATGGGCATCTTTACGTCCCGCTATGTAAACCACCACAATCCTATAGAAAGCACGTTGGAGTCGGGCGAACCCTCGAGTGCGCTCGACCCGACCCGACCTGCTTGTTACGGTTCACGCGTGCTTCTGAGACGCACATCACTCAGGCTGACGCCAGCACTCCTTCCCCCCTTGATAGGGGGGAGCGTGGGGGGTAGATCCCTAAACCCTAAAAGCAATGACTCTGGGTGGATGGGGTGGGACAGAACGCATCCATCCATCCCCCCCTACCTCCTGAGGAGGGGGGGATAGGATGGTTCTGCGCAGAAACCCTAAACCCTAAACCCTAAACCCTAAACCCTGGGTACCTTTTCCTCCTCTGATCTGAGTACGCTTGCTGCCGAAGAGCTGAGCAGACGCTTTCCCACTAATTGCTCGGGCTGCGGCCTGACCGACCCCTTCCGTGACGAGCCCCTTCCGTGACTGACCCTCGCCGCGCCTCTTTCCGCTCTCCGCTGCTTTGGCAGAGGCCCTCAGAGGGAACCACCGCAATCCGAACTGCCACCACTCGAGCGCCGAGGGTGTCTCACAGGGGCCCCACCAGCCTCCTCGAAACCACACGAAGAACTTCTCACGGCCTGCACCAGAAACGATCCCCTCGTTCAGCCAACACGTCAAGCAAGCCCTGTGCCCAGGAAACTCGACGAACGTCGAGTGGCGGAGTCACAGGGGTCGACCTGGCTGGAAGGAGCCACTTGGTGGAAGGGTCGATTCCTCTCTTGAGCAGCTTCAAAGCTTTCTTCGTGCCCGAGGTCGGGTGCTCCAGGCACCGCGTGCGGAACGACAAAATCTGCCTCCGAGCAGACCCTTCACAGGTAGAACACCATATTACCCCGTCCTCCCACCCCACGGCCCACCACAGACGATGAGTATGATGAGCCTGAGCGAGCCGAGGAGGCCCGCCAGGGCAAGGGAGGCGACAAAGCCTAGCACGAGTGGCGCAATTGCGCCCACACTGAAGGCATCCCCAGCGGCCAGCTGTGAACTTCACCTGATGGCCCCTCGGGTCCGAAACGAGTTCAAGCGGATCGAAGACCCGACGAAGCCGGGGACGTTCGACATCAGGGAATCCACGCGGCCGCTAGGTGGGATAGCACGCGGCCCGTAGAATAGTCTACAAAACCTCGCTGCCCACCCAAGGAGATGCCTTTCCTGGTCCTGGAGGCCCCAAGCCCCCCGAGGACCCTGAGATGCCTCCACCGGCTGCACGCAGGAGTGACCCTGGGCAAGGGTGACCTCTGGTGCGCGGCTGCACGGGGGGACGCCAGGTGACCAGACCCAGGCGCGCAAGCCGCTACTACCGCTTCGCGTTCAGCGATCGGGGGACCCCTTTGGGTCCGCACCAAAGGTCACTCCGGCGAACGGTCACTCTTACATCTAGCAGTCTCCTGAGGTCCCACAGAAGCGCACTCACTCGCCGACGACGACAGCAGAAGATCGAGGCCCGAGGATCCCGACGATGAGGCCACGACCTTTCACAACATGACCCCCAGGTGGTGGCGTACAGCAGGGGGTTCGGACGAGGCGGGTAGAAGGCTTATTAAACATTATCCGGATCTCACAGAAAGGCCTCCTCGGCAGCCTCCGAACGCTTCTCAGAGACATCCTCGCCGCCAAACCCGATCAGAACCTGCTCATCGGGTGCGCCGAAGAGGGGGACGAGGAAGAGGAGGGTGAGCAGCGCTTCAAGATCCCCCCCTGTCCTCACTTCCCTCTTGAACGCCCCCGACCCGACGACTTGTGCGTTTGATCGTTCAAACTTGTGTCGCGACGGCTTGTATGCTGTTCCTCGACGACGCTGGCGACTAAGAACGACCACGACCTCCACGTCCGCGGCGACGAAAACGACGAAAACGACGACAACGACGACGACGACGACGACGACGACGGCGCCCTTGACGATGGCCGACCGCGACGACAGCGGCGACGGCGATGACGGCGGCGACGTCGTCATGCGGGGCACACGGTCCTGCTCTTTCCGCCTCGGCA